GTTAACCTGGAATTCCTCTCTTTTACATGGAGATTTATAATAATTATCTAGGTTAACTGCAGCATTTCTGCTGCGTATTTTTTCAAAGTATTTTATTCATATTTTGTAATACGACTACAAAATTACTTTCCGGGTTGTTTTGACTATATATATATATATATATATATATATATATATATATATATATATATATATATATATATATATATATATATATATATATATATATATATATATATATATATATATATATATATATATATATATATATATATATATATATATATATATATATATATATATATATATATATATTGTTTGCTGTGCATATCTCAAAAACCATTGAAAAGGCAGGGAGAACAGTCACAGCCCTTTCAAGACTAATGCCTAACGTAGGAGGTCCTCGGACATCAAAAAGAAGAATTCTATCTAGCGTAGTACACTCACAAATATTGTATGGGGCACCAGCCTGGCATGAAGCGACCAAAATAAAATTCTCATGACCAAACTAAGTATCTTCAAAGAGTCCTGTCGATAAGAATATGCAGCGGGTATAGAACAATCTCGACCCAAGGAGTTGGTGTTATTGCGGGAATACCTCCAATCAAGCTGTTAATAGAAGAGCGGCGCGAACGGTATTTGAGCACCCCAAAAACTATTGCTAATACAAAACTAATGAGGAAATGGCAAGAAGAATGGGAAAACGGTAAATATGGACGCTGGACATATCATCTCATCCCAAACATAGCAGCATGGATAGAAAGACCCTACGGCGACGCGGACTACTTGCTGACTCAAGCGCTGTCTGGGCATGGTTGTTTTAACAAATATCTTTATGAACGAAAAAAATCCACTACTAGCAACTGCCACTATTGCCAGAAAGAAGATGATGTAAAGCATACAATGTTCGAATACCCAAACTGGTCCATAGCAAGAGAAACCTATCTTCAAAAAACAGGCATGTAATTTACAGCAGAAAACATGATGAGGAGCCTAATAGAGTCCAAAGAAGGATGGAACCACGCATATATGGCAATTAGAACAATTATGGCGACAAAAGAAAGTGATCATAGATCACATGTATGAGAGAGGAAAAAGGAACAGACATAGAAACTACAAGTAGAATGTGAACCTAGAACGCTCTGCCAAGAGCTGAGAGAAACATCCAGCACATCGTTTTCGAAGTAATGCGAAAGCGGTATCCGAATCGATTTGCTGTGGAACAGAGGGTGAAGGGTTTAGTCGGTCGGTAGTACCAATCAGACACTGTCTGGGCACACAAGAGCGCGCAAGCAGCACATTCGTCTGATAAGCAGATTCCTAATCCCCGCTTTAAAAAAAAAAAAAAAAAATATATTTATATATATTATATATATATATATATATATATATATATATATATATATATATATATATATATATATATATATATATATATATATATATATATATATATATATATATAAAGAGATGGGTAGTCTACGCGACTGACTAGTTGAGAAAAATATTCAAACAGGTGTCTTGGGGATGCAGTCTAATAAGAAGGCCGTTAGTTCAAGGAAAACCCTTTATTGTTTATCAAGCTTTCGAGAATTCAGTTGTTCTCTTCTTCAGGACTCTTCTACAATTATAGTAATTAAATACAATTTCTATTCTTGTAAAAAAACTATTAAAATGCAACTCACCAAAGTGGGATTATGGTAAAGTTTACAACATTGCTCAACAATCAAAAGAATCCTCATTTCTCAAATGCAGTAGTAAAAATCAACTTTTAAAATACACGTGAAAACTAACTACAAAAACTTTATAAAAAACAATACAACGTATATGTGAGTACAAAGTCAAAGCACGAAAATTGCATGTCAAAAATCTTAAAATACAATAGCAATTAATTCTGCTTCATGAACGATCTAATTATTTTATTGTAAATACTTAAAAGACAAAAGAAACGAATTAATTTTCAAGATTTTCTTTACAGTAAAGTGCGTTTCTGTTAGCACCGCCGATCGTTCACTAACGAACACCATAGTTTCAAAAAAGGTAAAATATGTTACTCTTGATAAGTAAAAAAGGATAAACTTATGCATATCATAAAAAGAGTGAAAGAGAAACAACTACATAGAAATATTTTGACACATTGGTTCGTTTCATCAGCGAGATCGACCATGCGCAATATAACATCAATGCTACACTGAGAAAACAGGCATTAGACAACTTGATAAATTAATTTAAGTAAAAAGAAAAAGTTTTTCCTTACATAGAACCAGACTAGAATTTACTTTAGAATTGAAAAGAAAAGCAAGATATCAAGAAAGAAAGAATTGTAATACAAATTTTAGTATAAAATAATATCTTAACATTCAAATGATTAAGTGTGTTTATTATGTTGGTATATACAGGGTATCCCAGAAATAAGTGCAAGAATTTTAAGGGGTGGTAGATCTGGCCAAAATAAACGTTTTTTTCTCTTTACAGTTTTTCAAATAAGTATAAAATAACCGAGTTACTTCACTTTGAAAATTTCCCAAAAAAAAATGATTTTTTGCTAAAATTTTGAGAACCACTGAATCTTTTCTGGATTTTCGTTCATGTAAATTTAAGCTACTGCCTATGTTGCCATATTATCAAGAAATTATGTTTTTTAAATTAAACCTAAAAAAAAATCCCGAAATTTTTTTCAAAAAATTCCAAATTTTAATTTTTTTTTTCACAAAAAATAGCTCATAAGCGTGTTTCTGAGCCCGAAATATACTACCAGTTAAAATACTTGCACTTATTTCTGGAACACCCTGTATAAATTATTTGTATATTATAATTATTACTAGCGTGTATCCGCGACGTCGTTCGCGTCGAATTAATCATTTGTAATGGTGATGATAAAGCAAAGCAAGAATTTCCTTTAACATACAAACTGGATAAAATTTTCTCACATTTATGAGAAAAAACAATATGGCGATATTATTATATAACTTGGTAATATTTGAGTGGTAGTTTCATCTCGTTGGAATTTGACTTTTGAAAAATCCGTGTGCCAAAAACAAGCTTTTTACGTCAAGCAGTTTAAGCACAATCGTGGTTAAAAATTTAAAAAAGAATTTAAATTAGTTTTAATTAAAAATTTTCAAAATATGTAAAAAAAAACAAAATAAATTATGCGTGTCCAACTTTTTCCCGAAAGACTAACCGTTTTTTAAATAACAAATATTGTAATATTTGAGGGGCGTTTTTGAGGGCTCTTGGAATTTGAGATTCGAGAAACCCCTCCTTATCCTTATCGAACTTCTACACCCCACAGTCAATCGGTTTGCCAAAAATTAGCTTTAAACGTCAATCAGTTTAAGCAGAATCGTGATTACTCAATGGTCATATTTTATGAAACACCCTGTATAAATTTTTAAAAAATCTTAAAATATGTAAAACAACAAAATAAAATATACGTGCTTAAGAGTTTTTCCGAAATACTCACCGGTTTTTAAATAAAAAATATTCTAGTATTTGAGGGATGGTTTCACCCCCTTAGAATTCGAGTTTCGAGAAATCCCTTCTTATTGAACCTCTACACTCTAAAGTCAATCCGTTTTCCAAAAATCAGCTTTTAGGTCAAGCGCTTTAAGCAGGATCGTGATTAATCAATGACCAGATTTTTTGAAACACCCTGTACACATTTTTATAAAATCTTAAAATATGTAAAAATAAAAAAATAAAATATACGTGTTTAAGCGTTTTTTCGGAAACTTGACCGTTTTTTAAATAAAAATATTGTAATATTTGAGAGGTGGTTTCATTCCCTTGGAACTGGAATTTCGAAAAATCCCTTCTTATCAAACCTCTACACCCTAGAATCAAATTGAGCTTCTTACGTTGAGTGGTGTTTGTTACTTAATAGAGAATTTGAATTTAGCGCCTAAAGCGCGCCATATTGGTGACGTAGAGAATGATATAGCAGCCATGTTCAAAAAAAAGAAATGTACACACATTCTTGTAAATCACACATAGCAAATAAAGTTTCATAGAAGTTACAACTTCTTTCAATCCACAACATACACACAAAAATCAACAGTCCACTGCACAATCATATTCAAACAAAACATTGGTCCTTCGACGCAGAATAGCATCAAGCGGTTGAGAAATCAGCAAGAATACACGAAAAAGGAGTTGAACCTAACATTTTACAACAAACAAAAGAAGCCAAATCATAACAGAATTCATTCAGCAAGACACAGCAATTCATCAAGTAGGTCCATTCCTTTATATCCTAGCTCATACAATCATTTAAACCAAAACTAATATTTGATTTTACAATAAAAGTCAATTTAATCTCATAAATCTCATAAAAACACATTATAGTCGTTAAACTAGCATAGTATCAGGTAGGATAGTTGTATAATTAACATAATTTCAAGCATTTACTGTAGTTTTGATATACAAAGTGTGAATTATTTAAACAAAATCATAGCAAAATCGTAGCATTCAATTTAGCCGGTTATTTCTGGATATTATTCGTTTACATGTCGGTTTCAAAACGACTTCCGAACAATTTTTCACGCTAACGTTTGCATGGGGGTCAAAATTTAAATTTAATAGGTAAAATAATTAGAAACATAATTATTTAAACATAAATCAGTTACATACTTATTTAAACAATTATAATAAATCGTAACAATGTCGGACGAACAACTCAAAACATTAAAAGTTCAATGCAATATGCTTAAAAATCGATTATTTCGGTTTGAACAATTTTTAAATGATGCAGCGAATCATAAGAAAATCGATGAAATTGATATTCGTTTACAAAGATTAGATGAAACATGGAACGAATTCCAAACTGTACAACTTTCTATAGAATTAATTGACAATTCTGACGAAATTTGTGCTGAGAGGAATGAGTTTGAAGACAAATATTTTTATTTAGTTTCAAGAGATTCAGATATTTAATTAACACTAATAAAACACACTCTAACAACAATCAAGTAGTTCCTAATAATTATTTAAATCCGTCAATGAACATAAAACTACCTCAAATCGACCTGCCGCATTTTAATGGAACATACGAGAACTGGTTACCCTTTTATGAGGGATTTAAAGCACTTGTTCTTGATAATCCGTCACTCAACAATATTCAACGCTTTTATTATTTACTTTCGGCTTTAAAGAATGACTCGATTCAGGTAGTTCAGTCACTAGAAATCAGCGATCACAATTTTGATATAGCATGGCAATTGCTGAAGGACAGATATGAGAACAAACGTGTAATTGTTCAAAATCATATAAAAGGCATATTTGAGCTCCCCGTTATGAGCAAAGAAAATCACGGTATCTTAAGAAAAATTATAGACGGTTTTTCTAAACATCAGAGAGCTTTAAAGTCATTAGGACAACCAATCAGTACCTGGGATACATTATTGATTTATATTTTAAGCAATAAATTAGATAATCATACAAGACGCGAATGGGAAGCATCTTTAAAGTCAGATCAGCTACCAGATATAACTATATTTTTAGATTTTCTTAAAAATAAAGCACAATTGCTCGAAACATTAGACACTCGTGAAACAAATAGGGTAGTAGGAGTTAAGTCAGATAAATCATTCATGCGTTCATCAAGTCATTTAGTCACCAAAGCCAATGATCAATTTAGAACTGATTGTAGGTTTTGCAGAGATATCACATGATTTACAAATGTGATAAATTATTAGCTCTTTCTCCTAAGGCAAGATATACGGAATTAAACAAGTTAAATATATGTTGTAATTGTTTAAAATTCGGACATTCAGTAAATACATGTCGAAGTAGTAGTGCTTGTAACCAATGTCATAAACGACATAACACTGTACTGCATTTCAATAATTATATTGTCAAAGAAAAAAACGTTACAGAATCACCTACATCAAATTGCACAGAATTATCTACAGTTCAACCAACACATCCCAGTGTTCACATATCACAAGAACGTCAGGTTCTGTCAAATTCAGAAGATTCCATCGTGAACGTGACTTCTCTAGAACAAAATTTGTTACATTCCAAATCAGTAAAGAGCAAGTATTGTTATCCACCGTGCAAATACATGTTTTTGATATAAATAATAAGCCTGTCAAATGTAGAGCATTATTAGATTCAGGTTCTCAATCGAATTTTATGACTCATGAATTATTCAAAGTGCTTAAACTAGACGCTTTACCGATTCAAATACCGGTAACAGGAATTAATCAAACAAAGTTAAAATTAATAAAAAAGTTTTTGCCAAAGTTAAGTCAACTGATAGCTCGTATAGTTCAGATCTGTCATTTTTAATTTTAAACAAAATAACAAGTGAGTTGCCACAGTATTATTTTAGTCCTTCCGAGTTGAACATTCCAGACAATGTTCAAATATCAGATCCAGAGTATAATAAACCAGGTAAAATAGACATGCTGTTAGGCAGCGGAGTTTTCTTTTCTTTACTATCATCAGGCAAAATCGAACTAAATAAATTTGGTCTTATCTTACAACAAACTAAATTAGGTTGGATATTAGCCGGTCCATTACAAATTCCCGAGTCAAACTCTTCTGAAATAGTCTCTTGTTCTAATGTAGCTTCCAATTGTCTTTTTACGCAAAATGATAAACTTCTAAACGAACAATTAGAGCGTTTTTGGCAAATTGAAGATCTGTCATCTGATAATACTAAGTTGTCAAATGAAGAACTTGATAGTGAAATACATTTTCGAAAACATTTTGAACAGGACACTACCGGTCGTTACACAGTACAACTTCCGTTGAAGAGCAATCATACTGAATTAGGTGAATCAGTAAGCACAGCAATCCAGCGTTTAAAGCACCTGGAAAGTAAGTTAGCACGCAATGATGACTTACGTAAACAATATCATGAATTACTGCAAGAATACGAAGACTTGGGTCATATGTCAAGAGTTAATATCGAATTGGATAAATCCAATGAAATACATAATTATTTACCACATCACGCGGTAGTAAAAGAAGATAGTAGTACTACACGTGTAAGAGTAGTTTTTGATGCATCATCTAAAACGGCATCAGGGTTGTCTTTGAATGATGTGATGATGATAGGTCCTGCTGTTCAGAGAAACTTGTTTGATATTTTAGTACACTTACGCATATTTAATGTAGTCATTACAGCGGACGTTGCAAAAATGTACCGACAAATATTTCTCCATGAATCGCAGCGCAATCTACAAAGAATTGTATGGCGCAAAGAACCATCGGAAGAAATTAAACATTATCAGTTGAATACAATTACTTATGGAACAGCTAGCGCTTCCTTTCTAGCCACACGTACTCTACATCAAATTGGGCTTAATTGCAAGAACACTGAGCCTATAGTTAGTGATGCAATTTTAAATAATTTTTATATGGACGACTTAATTTGCGGAGCATCCACCATTGAAGACGCTATAGAGCTAAAATCAGGACTGGAAAGAGTTTTGTCGAATTCAGGCTTAACGCTGAGGAAATGGCGATCAAATAAACAAGAAGTTCTTAATACAAGTTTAAATAAAGAGTCAGAAAATGAAAGCCAATCTCAGTACGTGATATCATCAGATATGAAAAGAAAAACATTAGGTATATATTGGGATACAAAAACTGATATATTTCAGTATCTTATAACATATAAAGACTTAAAGAAACCAATTACAAAAAAGGTTATACTATCTACAATAGCCACTATTTTCGACCCACTGGGTCTCATATGCCCATGCATTATAAGAGGCAAATTATTCCTACAACGGCTCTGGCAATTAAAAATAGACTGGAATGAAGAAATTCCTGGCGATTTTCAAGACATTTGGAGAGATTTTATCGATACCCTGACAGACATAAATAAAATACAGATTCCGAGACATGTTATACTGACCAAACCGTCAAGGTTATATTTACATGGATTTTCTGATGGATCAGAAGTAGCGTACGGTGCTTGCATTTACATTGTGTCGACCGATGACAGTGGTCATAGTTTATCAAATTTAATATGTTCTAAATCACGTGTTTCACCGATTAAAACCATATCTTTACCGAGATTAGAACTATGTGCAGCGTTATTGTTAGCTCAATTAATGAACACGGTTCGACAAGCTTGAAACTTGATGTTACTTTTTACTTTTGGACAGACTCTAAAATCGTGTTGGCGTGGTTAAATGATCAACCTAACAGATGGAAAACATTTGTAGCCAACAGAGTGTCAGAGATTCAGTGCATGAGTGAACATTCCGATTGGTATCATGTACCTTCCACAGATAATCCTGCGGATCTCGTGGCTTACGACCTTCAAAATTAATGCATTCTAAATTGTGGTGGCATGGCCCTGAGTGGCTTACTCAATCTATAGATCATTGGCCATCAAAAGATGAAATTAAAATAGATACAATTCCCGAAATGCGCAAGGAAAAGATTATTTTAACGTATCATACAATTACTGACAGTTCAATATTTTCTGATATTCTAGTTTTTCTAAACTACAGCGCGTAGTAGCTTATATTTTAAGATTTAATCATAATTCTAGAAATAAGGATAAACTAGATAAGGGTCTTTCCCATAACGAGTTGGAAAGAGCTACTCTGGTATTGTGTAAAATGGTTCAGGCACTGGAGTTTCCAGTAGAACTAGCTCTTTTATGTCAGAGCAAGTCGATTCATAAAAATAGTAATATTTTATCATTAGATCCTTTTATAGATAAGGATGGTCTTATTAGAGTAGGAGGGCGACTTAAACATTCATCTCTAACATTCGAACAAAAACATCCTATTTTGTTGCCCGGAAAACACATATTAACAAAGCTTTTAATAAAACACGAGCATCATAAATGTTTACACGCCGGTAGTCAATTAATTCTTGCACGATTGCGTACTAAATTTTGGCCAATTAATGGTCGTAATGCTGTTCGCAGTGTATTAAAGAATTGCCTCACGTGCTTTAAAACCAATCCAAAAACAGCGGTTCAAAAAATGGGTGATCTACCTGAATCGCGAATCACACCTTCTAGGGCGTTTTATCATTGTGGCATTGATTACACTGGATTTTACAATTTAAAAGACGGAAAATCAAGAACACGGACTTTAGTTAAATGTTATTTATGTATATTCGTTTGTCTAGCTACTAAGGCCGTACATGTTGAGTTAGTTTCCGATCTTACTACTGAAACATTTATGAACGCGTTTAAGAGATTCGTATCTCGGAGAGGTCTATGTCGACATATTTATACTGACAACGGTACTAACTTTGTTGGTGCTCATAACAACATGCAAGACGTTTATAAGATATTAAAAAACTTAAACGATAATGAAAAGTATTATAACTATTTTAAAGATCATATTATCGAATGGCATTTCATACCTGCAAGATCTCCTCATTTTGGAGGCATGTGGGAAGCGGCAGTAAAATCGTTTAAACATCATTTAAAACGAGTTGTACAGATGCTAGTTTAACGTTTGAGGAATTTTACGGTCTTGACTCAAATAGAGGCGATTTTAAACTCCAGACCTTTATCCCCTCTTTCAAATGACCCTTTAGACCTTTACCCATTAACCCCAGGACATTTCTTAATTGGCGATGCTCTGGTCTCAGTTCCTCAACAACCAGTAGTTGATATACCATTGAACCGATTGTCCCACTACAAGAAACTACAACAAATGGTGCAGAGTTTTTGGAACCGCTGGTCAAATGAGTATCTGCATACCCTACAACAACGTTCCAAATGGAAGGAGGACAACAGCAACATTATCATCGGCTCGCTGGTTCTCCTCAAGGACGAAAATCTTCCCCCCATGAGTTGGCAACTGGGTAGAATCATGGAGGTGATTCCCGGCAAAGACGATAAGGTTCGGGTAGTGCTGGTGCGTGTCCGTGGTGGTATTGTTAGAAGAGCGATACATAAAATTTGTCCGCTGCCTCAGGGAGACTAGATATGTATTATTAAGCTTAGATATACTAATATAAGTTATGATATGTTAGTAATATATGCCATTTTTGATATTGTATAAGTTAATATTGTTAATTCAAATTAATATTTTATTTTATATATTGAAATAGTTAAGTATTTCAAGGCCGGCGCCATGTTTGTTACTTAATAGAGAATTTGAATTTAGCGCCTAAAGCGCGCCATATTGGTGACGTAGAGAATGATATAGCAGCCATGTTCAAAAAAAAGAAATGTACACACATTCTTGTAAATCACACATAGCAAATAAAGTTTCATAGAAGTTACAACTTCTTTCAATCCACAACATACACACAAAAATCAACAGTCTACTGCACAATCATATACAAACAAAACAAGTGGTTTGAGCAGGATCGTGATTAATCAGTGAGTCTGTCACTTAGGATCAAGCATCCTCTGAAAAACTAGACGATGGCAAGCTTAGTGTTTTTTTAATTAATATTCAGTCCTTAAGACGTAAAACGGATGAATATATCTTTTGTTAGAAGAGCTCAATTTTCCAGAAATTGTTGCCTTAACTGAACATTGGTTAAATATGGATGAGCCTGTATTTGTCAAAAATTACACTACATTAACTAGATTCAATAGAAGTAACTCATCTCATGGAGGTACTGGGATAATGTCTACTAACAACGACTTTTCGGCAGTAACTAAGTTCGATACTCTAATATCCGAAAAAAATGGAATTTTCCGTCGTTTATCATAATGCTTTTGACCTGTATATTATTTGTATTTACAGAACACCTGACGCTGACGTACATATTTTCAGTCAAAAATTGCTAAGCTTGCTTGAATCCCTACCTATAAAAATTAAATTAATTTTGTGTGGCGACCTAAATATTCTAAATATTGACTTTGTGTGTGCAGCTAGGGAGTCTCTCCAGTCCATTTTTGATTCTTTTGGTATACTCATGCATATTGACTCACCAACTAGAATAACTAAAACTGGTTCTAGTACTATAGACTAAGTCGTGTCGTCTTTTGACCCGGAATTCGTTGACTGTACAGTCCTTCACTCAGGTTTCTCTGATCATGAGGCAGTATTGACAAAGTTTTTGCCAAAATCCAAATGCAAAAATACCTCGCGCAAATTGGGCCGTATTTTTTCGGATAAAATTTTTCTAAATTTTCACCACCTATGTCTGACAACTGAGTGGGTTGTCCTCTCGGCTGACGTCGATTCCGAATTTTCTAGATTTATAAATACCTTGTCTAATCTGGCGTACAAGGCGTTTCCTCTTAGGCCTATCAAAATTAAACAAGGTATACTCTGGTCTACTACAGGCTTGCGTATATCTGCAAAGAACATCCGCTCATTATCTCACCTTAAGAAATTAACGGACAGCATCTTCTTTCATAATTACGTGAAACTTTATAGAAGGGTTTATCGTAAGACTATAAAAGCTGCCAAGGACATTTATTATAATGCGAGGCTAGCCAAAGCCGGTAATGTTGCTAAGGAGACTTGGGCTATTGTAAATGACTTAACAAGACTTCTTCGTCTGGCACAGTCTTTAATTCACCTGAAGATTTAAACACTTATTTTGTTAATGTGTTTACATTGTTGGTATTATTTGCGGTTTCCCAAATATCTATACGAATAAATCTTTCTACGTCTTTATTTATTACATTCTGACCAAAACCACTTACTTTATGACAATCTGTTGTTTTAATCTGATTTAAAAAAAAATAGTTCGAACCAAATATTCATAACGGTTGATGAGTATGATATGTATTTTGATACATGAAAACAGACTTACAGAAAACACAGACAAAATATAGATAATACAATATCATTTGTCTAAAAACAGTAGACAACGTTTTATTTTCTATAAACCTCTAGATCTTCTATTGTATTTATTTTTACAGAATTTTAACTACGATTCGGATAATTACATCACTCATATCTAAGCGACACAAACTACCGTTTCGTCTACCCGGCCTGGGTCAACCAGGCGGGCTAGACGATCCTCTGAGAGTATGTCTTAGCGGAGCAGAAGCACGGAGTTACCTCCGACTGCTCCACGAAGGGCTTGCTCCAGAGGAAGCAAAAGCGAAAGCACTCCTCCGAAAAGGGGAGAGTAAAGAAACCAAGAAACAACCTGACTCATCTCCATCAAAGGGCAAGAGAGGGAGCGAGAACCTCTCACCTCTTCTCCGGCAGGGAGAGAAAAAAGTCAGGATGGAACACCGGGACGCAAGCAGGGACATATCACCAGCTTTACCGCTATTGCTGAACAAGTGAAAATGGCGGTGCTGCCGAAGGATTTCCCAGATGTTGCTCTGACCACCGACCAGCAAACTTCTCTAGAAGAGGCTATACTGGACGAAGTAGTGGCGATCGGATCACAACACAACGATCTACAAAAGCTGCGTTTTGCGGGGATACACGGGTAGGGATGATCCTCATAGATTGTGTAATATTCTCCTCTCAAGAATCGGCGAATTGGTTAGTGGAAATCGCACCTAAGCTTAAAAATTGGCAAGGGCCGGAACTGGTTGCAGTTAAGGAAGAAAGCATCTCTAAAGCGGCGGCCATCACGGTTTTTTGCTGAGGAGCAAAGGGAATGACAACACCTACCTGCTGAGCCTTATCCACGGTCAGAACTTCAATATAAGGACATCGAGTTCATCAACTCGAGGGAGGAGGGTCATGGTCAGGTCCTCACAATAGGAATTGACCTCGAATATAAGGAGGCAATAGAGAAAGAGGGACATATCCTCTATTATAGATACTGGACAACACCGGTATCAGGTCTAAGAAGAGACCAAGTTAAAGAGGTGGAGAAAATGGAGACAGATTCTCCAGCCTACACTCGGCCCACACCTCACGGGTACCTCAGCCGGAGGCAAGCTCCTAGCCTGTAAAGGGCACGGAGGGCCAAACTCCAACCGTGGAAGGGTGTGTACCCTCGGAGGAAGAACATCTGTTGTCAGAGGAGGATGGTTCAGTGAAGGCTGATTGACTGTCCCCTCTACAACAGAGGTATGATGGGTTATAGACTGTGTGATGACTCAAGGAAGTGAGGCACAATAGATCTTTAAGGCCGCAGTGATTAACCCCCCCTCTCACTCATTCTACATTCTACATCACTCTTCGTTATTAAGTACAAACAGTTTGTAAAAGCAGAGAAGTAGGATTTTGAATAGCAAATTTTAAAACTAAGAACTGTGTATGTTACTGACAAAGTGTAAAATTAAGGCATTCTGTATAAAAACTAGGTATTCTATATACTGACTGACGATTTCAGGTAACGTATGAAATTTAAAAAAAATTATGTACTTGAAACCGATTTTCTTTACATTTTTGCAAGAAAATCTTGAGTGACATCCACTTGAGCATCAACATTTTGTTTGTTGCGTCACAAGTTTGTTTGCCAAATCTACGGTAAAACCTGTCATTCTACTCAGACGTTAGGACCAAATCTAGTTGTTCCAAAAAAAACAAAGAAACACGAATAAAAAAGGTTGAAACTAAGACAATCAAAACTCATTCGTGCAACTAACTATTTTGTTGTTCTCGACTTCTGCCTTTCAGTTTCAGCGCTCCACAATGAGACTGTGACCCTATTTTAGTTGCAGAAGTGAGTTTTGATTGCTTTGGTTTCAATCCATTCTTTCCCGATTTTTTGTATATTTTAAAGATACGGTTTTGCTTTTACGTAAGGTGCATGAGTATTGAAGAGGAACTGTGACGGAGTACGTTAATTACCAGCGCTTTCCTTCACTTCCAAAACTCTGAGTAAAACGGCAGACTTTATCCGGTAGTGCCCAAATTTTATGCATAATATTCAATGCATTGCCGATTATCAAATCAGTATTCTATAAACAGCTTAGAAGATGTATATAATATAATTTTATTTCATATAATACAAGATAGTTTTAGGAATGTTATATAGGGTGAGTCTTAAATAAGTCAAATATTTTTAGGGGCGAAATATACGACTCCAGGGACACGTCTATGATGTTTTTTTTTTCTCAAAAGAAGATGTTGAAAATCGTACAATTACTTTTAAATTTTCCTGCATATTTTTTGAACTTACACACAAATTTTCCCACGGTATAATTTCTTAATCTCTGATATTACCATGGTTACGGCTTTACTCGATGGTTACCGCACTTAAAAAATAGAGAAAAAATCCGGTGGCATTCAAATCTATTTTAAAATAAGGTATTTTTTTAATTTTAAATTTGAATTACTCGATTTTCTTGAAAAAACGGTAAAGAGAAATTATGTTTTTTTATTATGTTTTTTTCATCGATATAATACATTGAAAATATTTGGTCTTATTTAAGACTGACCCTGTATAATCCCCCGGAATTGTATAGAATGTCGGATTTCAAACTTTGAGGGTAACATATACATTTACACTTGGTTATGTTCACTTATTGTTAAATTGTTTTGTACCTTTTGGATTATTGAGATGCAAGAAGAATTAAGATAAATAGCAATTGAAAATATATTTTTAAAAAAAAATGTTATTATTT